TTATAAATTTTTATACTTTTTTATATATTATTTCTAGTGGGGCTTCAGACTGGTACTTTACTACTGCAAACCTAATACATTCCCCAGGAGGTGGTATCTCTTTTTAGCGCGGCACCATATTGGTGGTATACCAATCACCACAAGTAATTTTGACCCCCAGTTTCCTCCTCAGAGAGAGGTACCTGAGCTCCGACGATTCCAAATCGTACAAGGGATTTAATTTTGCCAAGAGCACCCAAGCCAAATAAGCACTCAAGATACCTTCCACATGTCACATAATCATACGACATGCACGCTGTCGAAGAATTTTTATATTATTGTTTTGAAATTTGCTTTGCTTAGAAGGAAGATCATATTTGTCTCTTGAACTGTATTTTGACCCTCATTACCTTAGTTATAGCGGACGCTTAATAAACCTGTGGCAGTGGGTATCTATATAAACCAGTAATAGCCTCCAAGCTATGATGATCGTTTTGGCATAGTGGCTAAGATACTCGTTTTTAGGTTGGAAGGTGCCCAGTTCTAATCTTCCTAACTCCAAATCAGAAGGTTGCGTATTCAAATCACCAATGAAGGAAGATTAAAACTGGGCACCTTCCAACCCGAAAACGAGTATCTTAGCCACCATGCCAAAACGATCGTCATAGCATGGAGGCTATTACTAGTTTATTTAGATACCCACCGCCCCAAACAATAAATAATTAAAACGATAAAAAAAAATATCCCTGTTACTGATCCATAATAAAATATTCGCAGTCTCTTAATAAAATTTATTGAATAACTCCTCAAATACAGAAAATAAGGAAATAATTTTTCAATTAGAAAAGAGAAATTATATGAATAAATAAATGTATAAAATATATTTATATATTCCTCCATTTAATATAGTAAAATTAATTACAACTCATCTAAAAATTTAATTAATTATTATAATAATTATATTAATAATTGTTTTCATTAATTAATAATTATAATTATAATCAAGTAAGTTAATTCAAGTGTTGGAATTCAACCTTTGAAATGAATTGATTTCATATCAATTACAATACTATAATACTTTTAATATATATTTAAATTACACCATAATTATTGCCACTTTTTATTTAATACATGATAATAATCATCATATGTGGGTTACTGAAAATAACACATTAATACATAATATGTAATAAAAACTCAAATCAATCTTTATATCCATAACGTAGAAGATTCATGACTTGGTCAGTGCTCTCATCTATAATATTACTCCATTTGGTGTTTTCGAATGTTTCTGCCTCACCACCGAATTCCTGTGGTAAAATGGAGGGGTGGATATAATCCTTTAGTGCAGACAAGTCGTCACTATGAAACATTATCTAGAAAAAGAATAACATTTCGTCAATGCTTCTTACGGAGAATTAAATGAAAATGGTTTTTAACCAATACTTCATAAATTCCAAGAGCTACAGGGTGGTTGTAATTATAGTTTCCTTTTCAAAATACTGTGAAAAAAGAGCCACTGGTCAGAATGACTTCATATTTGAGCTGGACTTACTGGAAGAAGGAAACGGCAGGTTCCAATGTGTATCAATAGATGGCGCTGAACTGACAGAATCAATAGAAGTGACATTTTGCTAACAATGCCACACTTATTGAATGACTTTGAATTCATTTTTTACGTCAAAAAACCGAAGCAATTATGCCCTTTGAACAATACTGTTGATTTAATGTGCAACTCATGCTAAAACCATCGTAATTCGATTCAAAACGTCATTGGTAGCCAAATTCACTTTCGTTGAGCAGCTTACAAAGTCATCTATTGATGCAATTTGGAACTTTTTCTTTTGTTGCATCATTTCTACCTTCATCAAGTATTTCCAGTTCAAATTTGGAGTCATTTCGATCAGTGGCTCCCTTTTTACAGCATTTTGAAAGTGAGACTTAAATTATATTCACCTGTATTTTAACGAAACATAAAAGACAGAATGAATATTCTGTTAGCATCGAGTGGAATCGGTCAAATGTTTTTCTGTGAGCGTTTCAGGATTGCTAGTTTCATTAAACGTCATACTTCGAAGCTATTCAAGACGGACTTTGTAGTTTTGAGCCACAATCTCTAGTGACGAGGATACCTGAGTTGGTACCTCACACTCCACATCACTCTGACATCAGGACTTAGAATCTAGACAGATTTAAAGTGGGTGCCTCTACACAGTGGGTCTTCAGTTGAAGCATCAGAGCACAAGCCCTCTCTCTACTCGACAGAAACAACTCCGGAGTCGAATTTTCTACCGCGGTGAAAAATAATTTTCAGAATTAGAAATATTAATAAACAGTCATCCTTTAAAAGAAAAAATTATTTAGTGCCTTTTTAGTGAACTTATCTTATTTCTATAAAAATAAATAAACAAAAAAAATAGGCAAAATCCTAGATTCTGGTCTTTGGGGCGCCATAACTTCTTCACCAAATGGTGCCCAGGGAATACCACGTTTTTCAAAATGGAGTCATTCAGACACTAAT